TTTGGATTTTTAAAATGTGAAGTGGCTGACTTTACAACATCCTCATGTAAAAACTTCTTTATATACACATGAAGGAAATGAAAGAAGGATGAAGACTCAGAGGGTCACCTTGTTAAACAGTAAAAAGAAACACTGTTAGGCCAACCTCTCCTGCCTCACAGCAGCTTGAGAAGGACACACCACAGACACGAGCAGGCTTTGTACAGTGGAGCGAGGGCGGTGCCTTGTAGTAAACTGGACACTGCATCCTGTCTGCAGGGATTAGTGTGGGTCCACAGGCCGCCTGTTGTACGGATGAAGACGGATGGCTCTGCTTTATGCAAAAGGCAGACAGCTCCATGGCTTTATCTATTTTAGTAAAAAAAGTCAGTGGTCGGCCTCATGAAATCACCTGAATGGTAGGCTTGATTGACATTAAGCTGAATATCCACACACCATAGATTTTTTTCACTTATTTTTAAATGTATGTCTTTCCTGTGTCTGTAAAGCAAAACTGGAAATAAGTAAAGAAGAAAGACAAAAACTAATGTTCATACTTGGTTCGGGTCACCCTGGCTCTGCCTGAACTTTATTTTCTTAATGTTATTCTTAGGGAGACAGAGCTGAAGGCTCGGACTGACCATGAACACCCAAGGAGACGGCTGTCACTGGTAAACTACCAACATATGTTCTTTCAAAAATACAGCGCACACAGAAAACAAAACAAATTTAAACATGTAAGACGGTGAGAGCAGGAACATGTTTACTTTTCATCTTCAAACCCAGAAATCTGACTTTTTGGCTGCGCTGTGACCCACGGAGCTGATGGCATCGTCACTGACACACAATCACAACCTCAGAGTCGTTTACAATAAAAACACTTCAAACATGTTTTAGAGGAACCAGTCAGTCATTTGAAGCAGGTGTTGATGGAAAAGTTCTGAACAACTATCGCCTTACCTGTCCACCACATCTGTGGGAACATGTCGAGATGGAGCGAGCTCAGGGGTCTGCAACCTTTATGATCAAAAGAGCCATTTTTACGCCTTTGTTCACTAAATTAAGAGTTCAGAGCAACAACAACCTGCTACAGCTGTGATTATCAACTGGTGGCCCATGGGCCACTTTAGGTTCGTTGGAGAGGGCTTTTGTGGCCACTATAGGGATGACATTATGAAGCTAAAGCTAAAAATATCTAACGAGTTTGAACATTTATTAACATTTTTACAATTTAAAACAAATGGAAGGACCAGATCTTCTTGGGGCTGGGGGGGGGGGGGGTGTTGTACAGTTTCATTAATAAAAGCTATGAACTATGCAGACCTATGTATTTTTTTAACTGTGGAAAAAATAATTAAGTACAGAAATAAAGCATAACGTTAAAGTTAAATTGCATGCTCAATTATCCAGGTAGAAAAATCTAAAAAAGTTAAGTCAGGTCCTCTGGACGTTCAAAAAAAAAAAATTAAAAAATTAAAGTGAGTATGTTTTAGTCCGTGTACTTGTTCCAGTATTCACATATTTGCAAAAGAAATGAAAGGAAAATTGTTAAAACTAGTCCTTTTTTGTTGTTTGTTTAACAACCAATACAATTCAGTTTTATGTTAGTTTTGGTCCAAGCTTGAAAGAGCCGCTGCAGAGGAACCAAAGAGCCACAAGTGGCTCCAGAGCCGCAGGTTGCAGACACCTGGCATAAATGAACTTATGAGAGCCCCAAACTCACATGAAGATTACATAATACCATATATATGCAGTTAAAGGCATATATAAATACTCTGCAGACAATGCATATAAAACTGCAGTCATGATCTACATGCTGCTAAAGGGTTTTAAGTGGTTGTAAACTTTTATACACAGACAAACAGCAACAGAGCTGGTTTATATATCAGATTTATAAAGCTCAAACTACTTTGTAATTCATAATACTGGACTTTCAGCATTAATGAAATCCATTTTTCTTTTTCACTTTTTTAATTGTGTATTTGGACACGCTCATTTGTGAAAGGGTGCTGCAGCACCCTTCACACCCCTACTGCCCACGGCCTTGTTGCTCTTTAGATGACCTCAGTTTGGAGAAACAGTTGAGCTCTGACACGACGACTGAGCACACAGCCAGTCCAGTCGTTTTACAACTTCACCTAAACATCTCACAGAGGTTCAAACACATTTTTTTCATAGACTTTAATTCTGGAGCCAGTTTCTCATTTTGTGAGCTTTGATTATGTACAAGGACAAAAAGTGGCGGCAGCAGCAGCTGGCTGTAGCACCTCTGGTGCATCAGAGACTCTTCCATAAGAGATCTGCTGAAATAACGGTGTAATATGAGATAAAATTATGTTCCTCTAAACTGAGACCATTAAAGAGCTATTTACAACTAGCAGTTTATAATTATGGATCTCTTTTCACAAAATTCTGCTTCAAATGTCTGAACCTCTTTAATATGTGGCAGGTGTGACAATAATTACACGTTTGTTTTTTAACAATTTCTTCTTGGCTGTTTGAAAAGCACCGATGAGGCCACAACCAGTCACAGAAAGTCAACAAGCAGTGCATCTGTTGGACTATTTTCATTGCACTGCATGCTGGGAAATAACCTCTGGAGCATTTTATAAAATCCCAACACTTTATAGAAATAAGATAATGTTAAAACAAGATGTAATTTGTTGTGGGACACTTTATTACTTCATCAGTAAAAGCCTAATTAGAGCTGACTGTTAAAACATATCTTCTGATTTCAGTTTGTTTTGGCTCATATTTAATTTCAGCTGTTTCAAAAGGCATATTTTATTATTCATAAAACTGCATCTTTCATAAGATCAAATCAACAAGCACGAGTGTCATCTCAAGGATTGGTCCAACAGAACATATGTCACATTTGACATACGGAGTTTGGTTTTTAGTTGATAGCGCAGGTCTGTCAATTTAAAGTCATATTAGCTGTCAAAATATACACATTTTCAATATATTACTTAACTATTTACGCTTCTAACGCAATTTCTTTATCATTAAATGATTGTTTAGTGGTCAACCACATTAGGATTTTGTAAAAGTCGAGTTAGAAAACAGTAAATAGTACTAAGTTTGTAGATCAGTTGCACTTTTATCCCCAACTTTAGCCTCAACGCTCTCCACTGCTCAATTTCTTCCACTACAACGACTCCTTCTGTCGACTCTGGTCCTTGTAGCTTTTAGTCACAATTTCTTTTCAGAAGAAGAAAGAACTTTACCTTTTGGTTCTGGACCAAGCATCTCAGATTTAATTGTTTTCCTGTGACGCTGTTACATCCAGGGATAATTTTATCTTCTCAGTGTACACATAAATTATCTGAAGTGTATTCATATGTCTGAATGTAAACAAATGACTCATAATTGTTGGCAACAAAACCTGACTACTGATTTTCTGTGTTTTAGTAGTAAAAAATACTCATTAACAAAACGGTGGGGGTACCGCAGGGATCCATTCTTGGACACCTTCTCTTTTCTTTATACCTGCTGCCACTTGCTGCCATTTTTTGTCAACACAGCATCCCTTATCATTTTTATGCCGATGACTGTCAAATTTCCTTCCCTCTGAAGCACACTGGTGCACACTCTATCCAACCTCTTCTTCACTGGTTGACAGCAGGCATTGGATGGCTTTAAATTTCTTAAAGTGTAATGAGAAGAAGACAAAAGCTACATTGTTTCCACCTAATTGCACAATCAGGAACCACTGTACTGACCTTTCCTTTCTAGCTCCGTTTGAACACGTTGTCACTAATCTGGGAGTGATAATGGATCCTTCCATGAACCTAAACAGTCGTGTAAACGATTGTTAAATCCTGCTTTTTGTTTGTTTGTTTGTTTTGTTTTTCAGTTGAGGTGACTGTCTTATTTGAAGCCCATACTGTCCAAAAGTAACTTTGAGACAGTAATACATGCTTTCATAACACCCAGGCTTGATTACTGCAATGCTCTTCTTTTTGGAATCAGTCAGAACTCCATTGCACGTTTACAACTGGTTCAAAATACTGCAGCCTGATTCTTAACTGGTACGGGCAAAAGACAGCACATTGCTCTGGTATTAGCCTCCCTTCACTGGCTCCCAGTTCACTTCCAGGTTCATTTTAAAATATTTTGTATGTTTTATTTCTGCCCCATTTTATCTCACTGATCTGCTGCAGCCATATGTTCCACAGGGTTCTCTGAGGTCAGCAGACCAGATGGTTTATTGGTTCAAGGCACTGGTTTTAAGCTCAGAGGTGACAGGACCTTCTCTGCTGCAGGTCCAAGACAGTGGAATGAGTTGCCACTACATGTCAGGCAGGTTCCCTCTCTCACTGTTTTAAGTCTCATTTAAAAACTCACTTTTATTCCCTGTATTTTAACACTGTGTGAGTTGATTTTAACTTCACTGTGTTTTCATTATTTTAGTTAGTTAGTTTCTTATCTTCACCTCTGTAGATTCATGTATTTAATCCTGTGTCCTTTGCTTCTTTGTTTAGTTGTACAACACTTTGGTTGACCTTGCTACTGTTTTTAAGTGCTTTATAAATAAAGTGATAAAATGATTCAAATCCAAAACATCAGTTGCATATTTCGACAGCTATTGTGGCTTAAAAAATCCACAAACCTCTATAGGTTGAATGAACATCAAATTAGTCTTCTCATGCAGGACATGTGGTTCACGTATACAGTGTAAATGCAGATAACTGAAATTAAACAACAAAAACAACTCAATATTAATATATTATAAATGTTTTGTATCATTTCTTATTAAGACACACACTTTTTGCAGAAAAAAAACAACGTCATTGGTTGGCGTCACATGTTGTTTCCAAATCCAAGCTGTAAATCAGTTTAATCCTATTCATCAGCTAAAAGCCCACATTTCAACAACGTTCTGTCTCATGTTTGTTACAGTGGCAGAGCCTGTCAGAGAGAAATACAAAACTGGACTATGTACAGCACACGTCATATTGAACTATCATTTGCCATTCTTGTTGTATCTTTTTAATTGCTGAAAAACCTTCTTGTGAATAATCTCTGAGCTTCAGCCAAGTAGCGTCGGCGTACCAAGCTCTAATCTCATCGCAAAGTGAACTGCAGCGGTTTGCCTTTAATCTTTTTAAAATCATTAGTTTCAAATCTGTGTGTATACTTGGCAAACACATGTCATCTTACTAATTAATGCACCGGTTAAACACTCTTTGAGATAACAAAGTGGAGTGAGAAGCTTTATACAGAGCGATTGTTGGCATCTTTGTGACAAAAAGAGCATAAATCTAATCTTAATCCCTGACCCTAAAGAGGATGTAGCAGATAGTAGGTAGTGCATACAAATGAAAACAACAATCTTTGAAAGAGCACTGCTAGCTTGTTCTGTCCTTCCCTTTTATTTAGTTTTCTTTTGTTTATTCATAACCCAGCACTTAAAATCTGTAAGCAGTGCTCCTGGGTGCTCCAGAGCACATAGGCTCTTCTGTCGTGACGCAAACAGTCGGTGATAAGGTAGCGGTGAAGAGGAGAGAGGAAGGAGCAGAGAAAGGGAGCATGGGCGTTAATGGAAGGAGAGCTGTATTAACACTTGAAGAGAAGGCAAGCGAAGGAGGCCAGCAGGAGCCACAGTGATTGAGAGACACAGGGAGAGCCGCTGATGTCTCGGCCTGTCCCGGGTCCTGTGGGAGAGAGACGGAGAGTGAGCTCAGGCACACTTCAAGAACCAACAGCTTTGATTTGGAACATTAAAATGATAAGGATGTTCTTGTGAAGCTGTACAAATCCATTCACTTTTATTCAGAAATAATAATAATAATAATAATAAAAAGACAGAAATAAAAGCATTTAGTCAATGCAGCCTAATGCACAAATCTGCAGTTCCACTTTTGTTGTCTCATTGCTTCATTTATGATTGACCTCCCACAGTGTCTGCAGACAACAGGCAGTGTTTGGCGCCATCTAGCGGCCAAATGCTGAACAGTTAAAAAAATCCCTTAAAAATAATTAAGAAAAGACAAGAATTGTAAAGGCTTTGATTTTCAGCTTACAAACCTAATAATGTCAATTGTCTGTCGATCAAAAACATCAAGTTAAATCCCAAACCTCCAATTTTTCCATAAACTTTCAGACATGAAATAAAAAAATAAAAATAAAAAAAAGAAGCAATGATTTACAAATGTCATAAACCCATAGTTCAAACCCCGGTCCAGGGGCCCTTCTGGGTGGAGTTTGCATGTTCTCTCCGTGCATGCGTGGGTTTTCTCCGGGTGCTCCGGTTTCCTCCCACAGACCAAAAACATGCATGTTAGGCTGATTGGTAACTCTAAATTGTCCCTAGGTGTGAGTGAGAGAGTGAATGATTGTTTGTCTCGTTTGTCTCTATGTGGCCCTGTGATGGACTTGCGACCCATCCAGGGTGTACCCCGCCCCTCGCACAGTGATTGCTGGACATGGGCACCAGCGACCCCCGTGACCCAAAATGGAACAAACGGGTAAAGAAAATGGATGGATGGATGGATAAACCCATAGTTTATTCATAGTGTAACACGGTAAATAAATGTTGAATTGCACAAAAAACAAACAAACAAAAAACTGATAAAGAATTTTAAGGTAGAAGCACTTCCCTATAAATCTGGGACAGAACCATGTTTCTTGTGTGACACACCCGTGTCCTTCTAACGTTGGTCCTCAGTCCTGGTCCTGGAGGGTCATGGTGCTGCATGTTTTAATTGGTCCCCCCTACTCTTCAGCAAGTCTTTAAGCTCAGCACACCGGCTGCCTCAATCATTTGAGGAAACTGTGTTCTAAATTTTCTATTGCTTTAAAATGTCAAATGATGAATATCTTGCAACAAAAACATTAAGTTTTATTTACATTCTCTGTTCATTTCCAGACCAGAAAAACACTCATCTCCAAAACTGCAAGCATCAACAATTCAAATCCCTCAGCGATGGGGGGACATCAGAGTACTGCTGGCTGTCACATATTTCTAGACCCATATTTGCAATAAAAAAAAATAAACAAATAAAAATTAAAAAAAGCATTTTTTAAGGAATCAACTGATTTGTCTGCACTTGTCAGAGAACTAGCAGCTTCAGACGACACTGGCAGCTTGTTTAAATGAACTTCTGATCAGAGGCCGGCAGTGTTTCTGGATGGGGCTCATATGACAGAACTCCGTCCAGCCTTTACGGATGGCACAGCAAACTGGTTACAGACAATGATCTGTGGAAGTGAAACTGGTTCTGATTGAAACATAGCAGTTATTCCAAGAGGCAGAGAGACTACAACACAACTGGACCCTGGGTTGTCAGAACCGTGTCTTTTTACTGACCTGTTGTTAATTCACCAGATTAATTGCAAAATGCTTTTATTTCTGTACCACTTTTGTTGCCCCTGTCCCAACCTGTGATGTGTTGCTGCTATTTATTTTGTCCTGAATGTATAATTCTTAGTTTAAACATTTATGTTGACCGTGTTCCAGTGTAAATACAATAAGTGTTTATGAGATTTGCAAATAGCATTTTTTTTTAAATATATTCAATGTCTCGGTGTTTTTGAACTGGGGTTGAATAAAAAAAAACACAATGAAGCTGTGTTTTAAAGTCGTTTAAGGTTTGTGTGTGTTCACCTCCCTTTAGGCTTTTTTATTTTATTTTTATTTTATTTTATTTTACCAGGTTCTTGATGCAATAATAGAGCTGTTTTTCCTGAAGTGGTTCACTTTGATTGGTGGCAGCTTGTGGAGCTTACAGGAGCTTCACAGAAACAACAGAGTAAGTGTGCAAATTATTTTATCACACACACATAAAGAAGAAATAACTCAGTTTATAGATTCAAGCGTGTTTTTCTATTGATCAAACTTGAGTGAGCAGAACCACAGCAGATGTTTGGTTTCCTCCAGGAGCTTATGAGAATCATTTAGTTTTGTTAGTTATGACTTTGTGCCATATTTTCTAACAGCGTTCCTGAACCAAGTAAAAAGATGTTTTTAAAGCATCCACTGGAAATTCACATCTGGTCTGTATTGTTCTTTTTAATTCTGCTTGTTGTAACGTACTGTTAGTGTGCCAGACAAAGTTATCTGTTCTAGCAGCTGGAGGTGGTGAGTTCAGGAGAAAATGATGCTGCGAGCAGCGCTGTGGCAACAACGTCAGCTCAGAGCAATCCAAGCCTGTTTTTGTGTTGTGAAACAACTGTCCAGATGTGCAGACGAGGTTTTATAACATCACTAATTAATCAAAGGTTTGCTTAACACAACGATAAATTATAGCTTTACTCTGCAAATAAATACATTTTATTTTGATCTTTTTTTTCAATAAGCCTCTTCTAAAATAAGGAACCTGTTTTCAATCTTAAAGATGATATTCCAGAAATGACCACATTCATTCTTAATACAAAATAAATATTCTGTCTTTTGTATCAGAGAGTTAAAACTCAGCCAGTGACTATCTAATTACAGCCCCCACCCCACAAACATGCACACACGCACACGCACACACATGCACTTTGTTTTGGCTAGTCTCAGGCTGCACAGAGTGACGGTGTCTGGACAGTAGAAGGACTATTTTTCTACCATCAGGTGCAGTGGTGGAGCCAGGGGGTGGCCAGTGGTGGCCGTGGCCACCACTAAATAAACTCTAACCACACAAATTATTTGAGGAAATTATACTTTTAAGCAAAATAACAACTAGAAAGCATAGTTTCCTCAAATAATAAGGGTGATCGGTTCACATTTGCCAGCGGCCATGTTAGATTTTGACCTGGCAACCCGTGACATTTCTTACACCTGCCACACACCAAAATTGTGTATTTTTCAAGATGTCTTGCTCACAACACAGAGGGACAGATATTATTTCCAGTCCTCCTCTTCGCTCTATGAAGGGGACAAAAATAAAAGAGGCAAACCTCATTTGAACCCTACTTTCCCAGAGTAGATGTCCTTGTGAATTCACTCCGAGTCAGATTGTACGTTGTTCAGAGAAATGCAAACAGCAACATCTCAGTCTACAATTTAGCATTTTAAACAGTCATCTTTAAAATTATAACTCGTAACATTTGTTAGAGAATTTTCAAACAAAGGTTATGAATGTTTTTATTGTGTTTTTTTACGTCGTGGCTGAGATGGCTGAGCAACATTTTTCCCTGTGCCCTGAGAACCTGCCGTCTACCAAAACATTCTCTTACCTCCACCTGGGACACAACTCACCAACAGCCATGGATCAAGTCTGCGCGGCTGAAACGCCCACTGGACTCCACCGCTGTATAAAAGTCTACAGGTGACTCTATTCGAGGCTGATTCTGTGACAATGTTCTCATGTATTTATGTATCTGCAGTTTGTCTGTAACCTGTTCTGAATGCAGTCCTTGAACGTAAAATGCTGGTTGAAATCTTTACCTCCTGTAAGTTTTGGTTCTTTTAGGTAAATAATGTCAGTGAACAAGATAATTTCTCCAACAACAGGCACAACACGGCTCATTCAGGCAGTTTTCAAGTTCCAGAGAGGCAGGTAGGTGATGCTTTGAGTCTATCACCGTGGTAACCCAGTGAGAAGTAAACCTGCTTGATGACAATAGAGTCCCCTCCCACTCAATGCCCAACACAAGTTTCATATTTTAATTAATCTGAATGGCAAAGAAGGAGTATTACTTCATAATGTCTGAAGTCAGGAGAGGATGATTCAACCTAGATACAATATGCTTTCATTTCGAGATATTCTTTGGTTTGAATGATTCCACAGCTCATCCGATTCACTCATTATTCTCAATAACATTCTCTGGTCGCACCAATCCACTATAACAATATAACACTATAACACCTGAAGGGTGCGCTCAAATTTGATGGTAAATTTTGTGTGTAACAGAGAAATAATTTGCAGAAATGTCCACAATCACCTCAGAATAACATCTAATAATTCATGTGTATTTGATCTTCTATCCCTACAAGAACGAATGCAACAGTTAGGATTTATAATATCGTTCTAGTTCGTTCTTAGTTGGAAGGAGGTGTATTTACTTTGAAACATGACTTTACTTGAACACATAGAAAATAACAACCTGGATTTTAAACTCAACAAAGTCTTGAGGTATTTTTGAGTTGACTTTGAAAGTTTTAGGTTGAATCGTTAAATGTGACTGAACTTTCAAATGTAACTTTTCCTCTTGGAAACATATTTCCACATCTCATGCAGAGATAAGCGCATGCCAGGTGCCAGATGATTAAAAGTAATAAACAGAGAGGCTTTACTTCACAGCCTTGCTTCCAGATGTTCAGCAGTAAAACAAAACAACCGCAGTGGATGTTCTCGCTGCTGCGTTCAAATGATTTATGGGGAAATACGATAAATGAAATAAATATTTTCTTTCAACTTTACCTTGCTGGTATGAATTGTTGGCTTGCAAAACTATAGCACGCATACTGACATGTACAGGTTGTGTCTGCAGAGTGCAGCATCAGTACTCACTGTAGAGGAAGAGACTGGCACTCTGAGCACCCAGTCGGTTTGAGGCCACGCAGGTGTAGTTCCCATAATCTTCTTCAGTGACGTTAGCAATCATGAGGACAGTGGTCGTGCCAAGAATCTGGATATTGATGCCCTGGGTATTGGACAGTCTGGAAACAAGAGGCAGAAAAACTTCAGACCATTTCAGGCGAAGGATGTATCTGCAAAACTGAGGTTTTACAGTAACAGTGAAGTTAGTCCAAACTGTAGGTAAAACATGAAATAAATGTGCCACGTGATCAAAGCTGCAGTATCATGTTTGTTTATTCACTAAAATATCAAAGGACAAAATTAATGATGCATCTAGACGATGGGGTTGAACAGACTAGTCGACTAGACGACCCTAGGACACCTCGCAAGTTTTTTTGTTTCACGTCGACTAGTCACAGTCACCACCATCCGCCCCGCTGTTCCCAGATCTGTTCCACCCAGTCCATGTGGTGGATTAAATACAATAAAACTAAAAACAGCAGGATGGTAGAGCTGTCATTTCTAACACGGCAGCGTTTGGCCCGAGCCAAAATAATGTGCTGGATGGGCGGGCGGGTTGCTGTCGGGCTTTTGATTGCGTCAGTGGACACGCATGGCCTATGACCATTAATAATTATAATATTATAATAAGGTGCTCCACCCAACTGCCCTCAGTTCCATTCCACCCAATCCATGGTGGTGGATTAAATAAAATAAAACTAAAAACAGCGTTTTTATTTTTATTTTTATTTTTAGTATGCCGCACGTTTCTTTCACTTTTGCAACTTAATAATAGTTATGGTTTGCCTGTGACTTATTTGCATTATGATAAATGGTAGGAGCATAAATTTACACCCATTGTTGTTGTTGTTCTATTTTACTTTTATTACTTAAAAAAAAGTAGTTGTTTAACTCCTGCTAGAAGACATGGTGGAAATTACAAATTCAGAATAAAATTACGTCAGAGTCACCATAATGGTAAAATGATAAGTAGATCTGTACATGAACAGGGCTCCCATTGCACAATTTTATTGTCTTTTCTGCAGACGACTGCCAGAGCTGAGCAAACACACCAGGCTATAATTTAACCACTTTAGAGATGCTGAGTTAAATCCTTAGTTTAGTACTTGTACTTGTAGAAATGCAGCAGCTATTAGATAAAAGATGTGTGCTGTTAAATCTTCATTTATGAGAGGTTTCATGATGCTCTGACAATTAATTACAGCAACACCAAACCCAGTTTACAGTAAATGAGACAAAAAGTATGGTCAGACTACAAGCCATTAAAGAACTGTTCATTAAATCATCCCAGATGATGAATGTCTTAATAACACATTCTACTTGTTCCAGCCTGTCTGGAGCCTTTTACATCCCAAACAAGACAAAGTTCACTTAAGGTGTCGCATCCTAATCCTGCTCATGTCTGGCTAATTGGTAATCAGAATTTGAGCAGGGACGTTTGTGCTGACGTGTGCTTGGCAGACAGAAAGTCTGAACAGAGATGGGAAAGTCTCTCAGCATAATTCAGCTCGCAGGGGAGAGGGGAACTTGATAAAGTGCTGAGGTCCTTCCCGCAGGGACACCTTGGCTTCAGAGGCAGCGAGTGTTTGAAAGTCAAAGAGAAACAGCGAAGCGAGGCCAAGTGTCCCCACTGCATCTAAAAACAACTGTGTCCACGCTCTTCCAGTGATAAGGCCAGCAGCGGATATATTCTCCTGTGTGTCTTCATGAGAAGTGACTGCACTATTAAAAAAGGCCTTGCTACCCACCGCACCGAGCATGCTGGGAAATCCAGATAATACACAACGCCACAGGGAGCCAGAGCCAACAGCTCTTTTCACAAAAGATTACAAAGTGTGATCGTAATGCAACAGCGAGGGAGAAACCTGACCTGAGCAGGTCAAAATGATTCTTTTAAAAATATGTTGTAACAGGAAAAAAGTTTCAGCTTTCTTTAAAGGCCTCACATTTTAAAGGATGCATGTGGCACTGTTTTCAGTTCAGGTGGGTTTTAGACTATTATCTTACTATGACAAATGATGGAGGTAAAGCTGTTTTGGCCAAACCTTGAGTAACATTATACATGTAATGTCTTGTATGATTTGTTAGCACTAGGAGAGTGTGTTTTGAATGACAGACAGCTGCTACCACACCAATCTTTAGTTCAATATCTGTAAAATTCTTTGAAGAAAAGCCAGCTTTAGTTAGGTTAAGGTAAGTTAACTGTGGTGGCCACCTAAAATAGGGCTGACTCTAAAAGTTCAGATTTGCAGATCTACGTCTAACTCTGACACTTGAATTGAAATATGTTCAGTGTTTCATGAGATATTTAGCCAACAGATGAACAAGTTGGATTCCAACAATTAACACCAAGGTTATAGTTTTAGGATGCATTGAAATGTGTTGCAGTTAAAGTATGTGTTGAGAATAACTCTCTACTACTACCACAACCAATTTTACTCAATGTTTACTGAATTGTCAGAGTTTTATCTGTTTTTGTGGGGTTTTTTTTCTAAGCACAGACTGTAGCAGCTAGTTTGACTTGGACCAACTCCAAAGGTGTTTCAGTTGTAGATGTTCATCCGTTGATTATCCATCCATTATCTTTACCTGCTTCTTCCTTTTCAGGTTGCAGGGCTCACTGGTGTCCATACCCAGCTGTCACTGTGCGAGAGGCAGTGGACACCCTGGACAGGTCTCCAGTCCATCACATGGACACATAGATACAAACGAGACAAACAACCATTCACTCTCTCACTCACACCTAGAGACAATTTAGAGTTAACAATCAGCCTAACATGCATGTTTTTGGTCTGTACCCAGAGAAAACACACGCATGCACGGATAGAACATGCAAACTACACCCAGAAAGGCCCCGACTGGGATTAGAACTGACAACCTTCTCGCTGAGAGGCAACCCTAT